AATATTGGTACTACTTATCTGTAAAGATGACTAATAGTGGTAACCACAGTTAATATTGATATATAAATATTGGTACTACTTATCTGTAAAGATGACTAATAGTGGTAACCACAGTTAATATTGATATATAAATATTGGTACTACTTATCTGTAAAGATGACTAATAGTGGTAACCACAGTTAATAAAGTACCAATATTTATGTCTCAATATTAACTGTGGTTACCACTATTAGTCATCTTTACAGATAATTAGTACCAATATTTATGTATCAGTATTAACTGTGGTTACCACTATTAGTCATCTTTACAGATAATTAGTACCAATATTTATGTATCAGGTAGTACCAATATTTATGTATCAGTATTAACTGTGGTTACTACTATTAGTCATCTTTACAGATAATTATTACCAATATTTATGCATCAATATTAACTGTGGTTACCACTATTAGTCATCTTTACAGATAAGTAGTACCAATATTTGTGTCTCAATATTAATTGTGGTTACTACTATTAGTCATCTTTACAGATAATTTATTAACTGTGGTTACCACTATTAGTCATCTTTACAGATAAGTAGTACCAATATTTATATATCAATATTAACTGTGGTTACCACTATTAGTCATCTTTACAGATAAGTCTTCACTTAAGTGCTACTGCTCTTAGTAAGTGTTGTTCTACACAAGTTATTGTTCCAGTAAGTAAGTATTAGTAAGTGTTGTTCTACACACGTTATTGTTCCAGTAAGTGTTGTTCTACACACGTTATTGTTCCAGTAAGTGTTGTTCTACACACGTTATTGTTCCAGTAAGTGTTGTTCTACACACGTTATTGTTCCAGTAAGTGTTGTTTTACACAAGTTATTGCTCCAGTAAGTGTTGTTCTTCTGTAAAAATTATTGTTCCAGTAAGTGTTGTTCTTCTGTACAAATGATTGTTCCAGTAAGTAATGACACGTTTTATTTATGACGAAAAAGAGGTCTGATAAAAAAAAACCTTAAGGTTCTAGTTTTAATTTGTTTAGCTTCTAGTTATTCTAACGATCATTTAAAGTTTATACAATGGAAAATGGCGGACAATAGGAAAGTATTGGAAACCTATTAAAATTAGAAACAAATTAATATAATAAATATTTCTTATCGCTCTTTATCCGTTTAAAAGTTCATGGAAAATTCAAAGATGCTTTGCTGTATCTTTTTTTTTTTCTAATTTGCGTACAAGAATGTCAACAATGGTCATATTCATAACAACGACGAAACAAGTTAATGGACAGTGCATGTATTTTAAATTTTTCAGAAGAACATAAAATTAAACATAAGTTAATAATATTAAAATAAAATGAAGACACCAGCGTTTTCACGTGCACAATAATTTATTTTTATAAGGTTTAAAAAAACAACTTCTACAAATATATTGTTATGCACGTCATTTTATTTTAATTTTATTGAAAGTATACAAAAGGGCTGTCAGTATAATGTACGGAACATAAGTTAGTTTTAATTTCTAGATCCGCCAACTTTTGCGGTAACGAGATGCGAACCATGGATCTTTCAACCCTCGGCCCGGGATGAGTTTCCATAGATGTAATATATTGTTAACCGAGTTCTTGATCAAACCTGGAAGATGAAAATAAAAACTAAAATCCATTAACGCTAGTTCTGCAGCTTTCTTAAAAACGTGTCAACAACCATTAAGCCCACAATATGTGTGTGTGTGTGTGTGTGTCATGAGAGAAGTTTCATCAGAGCTGTCTTGAACACAAATATCACACGCATTACAATATAGCCAGTAATCTAAGGTTTCTATCCAAATTAACGTTTGGCAGACAGAGAGAGATAAGCTTAATGAACCTTAACTTTATAAAAAATAATGTCTGTTATTTTCCTTCCTGGAGAAAAATGAAGTCTTTAATACATTGGTTTCAAATTAGTTATTTAATACTGAATATTGTTATTTCACAACATTCCGTTTTATCTTAGAGTGAACGACATCTCCATTGGTCTAGAATGTGGCAGCATTAGAAACGTTGCTATTAATATATTCATTGCAATACACACTAAGGGTAGGATACAAACATGCATTATTACAATCTTATATCACTAATTTAAATCATCACCCAATTCTGTGCACGGAACCCGACACTAGGAGAACAAACTGATAGCAACGCTAAAGGACCATTTGTTTATTTTAGACTAAACAAAAAGCAAAAATCAATAACTTTACATTTCTGAGAAATATCTGCATCCAAGAGGACGTTAGAATTAACATTGAAGTCAAAGCATTCTTTTGTAGTTACTGATATTACAATTTACCAGAGTTTAGCGTTTCCAGGCATAGTGAAAAATCAACTGAAACTAAACTTTATCAGATGGCCAGGTGGTTAGGGCACTCGACTCACCATCTGAAGGTCGCGAGTTCGAATCCCCGTCCCCCAAACATGCTCGCCCTTTCAGCCGTGGGGACGTTATAATGTGACGGTCAATCCCACTATTCGCTGGTAAAAAAATGCCCAAGAGTTAGCGGTGGGTGGTGACTAGTTGCCTTCCCTTTAGTCTTACACTACTAAATTAGGGACGGCTAACGCTTTGCACGAAATTCAAAAATAAACAAACAATCTTTATAAGATAAAGTGGAAAATCAACTCAACCCTAGATTTACAAGAGATAATGAAAATTCAATTGAAACTTAAGTTTACCAGATATAATGAAAAATCAATTAAAACTTAGTTTTAACAGGAAAAATGAAAAATGTACTAAAACTTAACTTTACCAGACACGATGAAAAATCAACTAAACTTAACTTTACCAGACACGATGAAAATGTACTAAAACTTAACTTTACCAGACACGATGAAAATTTACTAAAATCTAACTTTACCAGACACGATGAAAAATCTACTAAACTTAACTTTACCAGACACGATGAAAAATTTACTAAAATCTAACTTTACCAGACACGATGAAAAATCTACTAAACTTAACTTTACCAGACACAATGAAAAATCTACTAAAACTTAATGTTACTAGAAAATATTAAAATCAACTAAACTTAGCTTTATCAGAAATAATGACAAAAAAATCACTGGTCATCACGGGTCAACTCACACAGTCTACATTGGTCATCACGGGTCAACTCACACAGTCTGTATTAGTCACAGGTCAACTCACACAGTCTACATAAATTTAATCAATAAGTATACAACTTAAAAACCAACTCTGTTTTAATCAATACTAGATTCCGGTTCTGTGGACGTTTCCAATTTTCAGTTCTGTAATAATAGTAAAAACATACAAATCTCGGGTATGAGTCGTATCTGGCTCTTTAAGTTCAGGCGAGTTAAGTCACGTGTTTAATTTTCAGTATTAGTAACTAGTAGCTCAAATTGAGCGGTAAATATTAAATCAGATAAACTTTTTAGAGGAATGCCAACAGTAAGTCAAACCTAGATGTTTTTACTTATTGGTGTATTTTCATGATTTTCATACTTTGGGACAGTTATACTTACTTGTTTCATGACTTGCAAGGATACATGCAAGTCAAAAAGGAAAGATTTACTGATTACACTGCATTACTTTACAGCTTGAAGGAAACAACAGCCTTACAGGGGCATATAAATGCTACATATTTTTAAGACTGTGTAATGCTGATCTGATTAAAAACGTAAAAGCACCTTGGTATATTATCAGTTAAGGCTTTAAAAAATATAGGACCCGTAGTTTAAAGTCAGGGCACTTCTTACAAACTAGAAAACTTAATTGTCCTAAAACTCACCAATCTGGGGAACATCGTATTGTCGAGATCCGCGTCGTTCTCTGACGAAGAATTTGGCATTCGACGTTTTCCGCTCTCTGATGGTTGTAGGAGCCCAAAGGTCAAGAACTGCTGGTGGCTGGCGTTGCTGCCTGACCGATGGGGAGAGGTCAAAAGTAAACTGCTGGGCTCTGGTTAATGTCAGTGCCATGGCCATCAACAGCAACGGTAGTAACAATCTTCCCATTGGGCCTGGTGTACAAGCACTGGTGGGTACGTACGGTGGGTAAGCTTTGTTCTGTGTACGCTGCGTCCGTTTCTCAATGAAACACTCTCCTGGCAGGTGCTGTCGGGGCCTTCTAATGCGCGTGCGTCTGTCAGAAAACTACAGGTAAAGATAGCCGAGGACGGGATGTACTAGCATTAACAGCTCCTTTTATAAACTTGTCATATTTATTCCCTAAAGTGCTTGTCTTTCTTGTCCTGGACTGTCATGGCTTCTTCTGTGAACTGCTTTTGCAAGTTTCCTTATGATATAATAAAAAAAATTTCGTTTCTTCGAGACAATGCAGTTTCTAGTTTTCCGAGCATTTAGTTCGGCCAAAAGAGAGCCTAATATCTTCATCCTAGTTTCGCCCACACACATTGTGCCAGCCAGTGCTACATCCTGGTGTAAAGGTGACGCACCAGGCAGCATGCAGTGTCCGTCGTCCGCTCACGCGCATGTGTGTTTGATTCGCCACCTATTAGCAAGGAAGATTTCTTGGAGCACCATAACCAGCTGGACAGTGTTAGCGGCTGTTTGGTCATTCTGCTTTAGAAACTCTGCTCTCTCAACATCTATTACACGAGTTCTGAATTTTCTTAAGAAAAGATGAAAAATATAACAAGAAAGTCAATAAAGCTAAGTTCTATTGAAACTTCGAGCTTTTCTCTAGAATAAGGAACTTTCAAAAAGTGCCCGGATTATCGAGTTTCTTATTTTGTGACTTATCTATTTTGGTTCCTACGTGATTTAGTAGTATCATCACAAATTTATAAATAATTTCTTAACATGACAATTTCACAAAAGTCATGCTGCCAACCTCTGGAGGGCTGAACTATATCTTGAAACTTTGAAAATAGTCACACAGTCTAACAGATACACGAGATTAGACTACCAAAAACAACATATTTTACTTAAAGTGTCGAAAGCTTAATTCAGTAAATTTTTGAAATATTCGACACCGCGAAGTGCCGTATGTGTAGGTCTTTTACTTTTTTATCAGTTGAGGATGAGCGCTTCAGTCTAAAGTAACGAGACAATGGATGGCAAACTCTGTATCCATAGAAACAGCTTCAGGCTCCAGTTTTTTAAGTCAACTAGATTATACATTAACCATTCTTTTTTATCACTTTTGTCAGAAAGAAATTCGAATTTCTGGTCATGCCGACACTTAGAGATCTTATTTCAAAAATACAAATTAATATTTGTTAGATCGTTTGAACGAAAAGAAAGGAAATGGGTGAAGTTTCATGATAACAAACTGTCCATCTTAACTTTATCAATACAGCTGTTTTTCTATATCATCCTTTCATTTCACTTTTTGAAATGATTAAATCTACAAATATAGTTAAAATCTTTACATAAACGAAAATTATTCTTCTAGAAATTACGAATACGTCGATTTTCAATACAAATCTTCGAAAAACAATTTATATTTGAAATAATAAAAACAATAGGCGACTTTTCTAGATTCGTTTGCTTCTTTGTAGTTAAGCATAAAGCTACACAATTGGCTATCTGTGCTGTGCCCATCACACGTATCAAAACCTGATTTCTAGTGTTATATGTCCACAGACTAACCGCTGGGCCAGTAGAGGGCGACTCTTCTAGTAGTAGAAGATAGAATCTGGTTCGTACCAGAAATACAGATTCTTCATCATTGAAATACTGATTCTTCATCATTACTTGTACATTGCATCCTACGAAAGCTCGCGCTCATAATATTCCATTGGATTTTCAAAGAATAATAAACTCATTTCAGGCGTGTCTGGCTTTCCACATAAATTGCAAATTTCCGGTTTGACTCTTTCGCTCCCTCGTAGTGATATGTAACAGTAACTTGCTATTAAGTCTTTTCTCAGTTTACAAATTGAAAGGTTTTAGCGAAAACAATATCTCCTGAAAATTAAACAGAAATTGCATAAAAATAATTTTAACTTGTTTGATTTCCATTAAGAAGAATAACTCTTATCAAGAACTTTAATAAACTAAATATTCTGGTTGATTTATCTTTCAATTCACGCTTCAGACAATGAAGAAAACCTCGGCTGGGTTTCTTGGCAGAGAAAAATGAGTAAAGAACTCAATCAGTCTTAGGGCGTCTTATCTTAGGGTGTATTATTTGAACTTTGTAATTAATAACTCAATCAGTCTTAGGGCGTCTTACCTTAGGGTGTATTATCTGAACTTTGTAATTCATAACTCAACCAGTCTCAGACCGTCTTACCTTAGGGTGTATTATCTGAACTTTGTAATTCATAACTCAACCAGTCTCAGACCGTCTTACCTTAGGGTGTATTATCTGAACTTTGTAATTCATAACTCAACCAGTCTCAGAACGTCTTACCTTAGGGTATATTATCTGAACTTTGTAATTCATAACTCAACCAGTCTCAGAACGT